ATATTGTTTCGTCAATTATTAAACTCGATTAATGCGTTAATAATCGTAATTATGCGTAATTAAAAAATGTTATTAAAAAATGTTCATCTATTAAAATTTAATTACGACAATTAATATTGAATTTTTTGTAATGTCCCCCTTCTGCAAAAGAATTATTATCTTATTTTAGAATATATTCAGATAATGAAAGTAACATAATATGAGTCAAGATATTCTCTGTATATTGCAAAATTTTATAATTTTTTAAATTTCTAAATTGAAAAGCTTTCCTTGTAAATTAATTTTTGCACCCAAGATATGAAAAAGAAGAAATTAATATATAAATTAATATAATTTTCTAATGCAACTGAAAGTAATAGACGTGATTATTTTTAGTTTGGAAAATTATTGATTTAAAACAGACATAAAATAATGTTATGTTAACAATTACATTATTTCTATATTATAATTGCTACATGATATAAATATGTGCATGCGTGCATGCGTGCATATGTATAATTCTAAATTGATTTATTTGATAATTTAGAAAAAATGTTATATAATTCCATCAAAATACAAAATTAAAAATAAGCAAAATTAGATAATAACTAGTTAGTATAATAGATTAAAAGTTAAAAAAGCTAATAACTTTTAACTTAATTTAATTAACTTTTAACTTAATTTAATTAATTTTAAATAAATTAATTTTTAACTTAATTACTTTTAAATTTTAATTTATTAACTTTTTCTTTTTAAGTTAAAGTTTTTTTTTTATCTCTCTAAATGTCAATATTATTTTTTATAAAATCTTAATTATCAAAGAATTAGTTTCGAATGAGCTCAATAATTAAATAATGGGATGCCAATGATCATAGTGTCAAAAATGAATATGCGTTGGATCTGTATTTAGGGAGTGTTATCAGTGCCATTGCGTCACGCTATTTGTTTTATGGGCGATAAAGAATAAAAGCTCTTTATTTGCATATAAATTTTAAAGAATGCGCAGATATTGCTAACACAAAGAGGAGTAAAAGATTATCTGTATCTTAAAAAAGTTTATTTTTTCTTTTATAATGTAAATATTAAAATATAAAAATGCTTATATAAAAATAATAAAAATCATCAAATATGATAGGGAACGCCAATGGTCAAAGTTAGATGTTTCGAATAATATATATATTATTCGCGCGCCCATAATTTTTCGGTTTTTCAACACAATCAATCTGAAATGTTAATAATCCCCCCTAAATTAAATTACAAAAACTGTAAAGAACTTATTGTCAAAAATATTACCTTATATTACACTAAAATATTACCTCATATTACATTCACTCCGGAAAGTCGAAAAGTTCGAACTCTGGTTGAGATAATATTTCATGCAATAAATTCTTTATAGTTTGTCTAATTTAATTTAGGAAGAATTATTAGCGTTTCAGACTGTTTGTTGAAAGTCCGAAAAATTATCAATGTGCAATCATATCTGAAATAAATTGATTTAAAGAATATATATAGTATTTCGAAACTTCTATCTTTGACCGTATTGGTATTCTCTATCGTATTTGATTCATATATACGATCGTTTCTTGAGTCTTAATAATAATAAAAATCAGTTTTTATTGTACAAGAAAGATCTTTGTTATCTTATAAAATTTACAAATAAAATATTGAATTTATATCTATTCTATATTATAATTGTTTTGTTATTTAAAATAATCTAGTTTTGAAAAATTAGATTATTAATTTCATTAAAACTTTAATTTCTGATTTAATAAAAACAAAATTTTTCAAAATTAACTTTTTATTTAACTTTAATTAATCAATCTTATTTAATTTTAATTAGTTCAATCTTAACGTAACTTTAACTAAATCAGTTTTTTGTTCATTCAATTTTAATAATTTATCCAATTTAATTTACTTTGCAAATAAGTATTGATATAGATTTTAATATAATTTGCTACTTATTTATTTGCTAATTATCACTAATTATGACTAAAGTTAATACATTTAAATTTATTTGCTACAGAAATGCAAAGATATTTGTTACAATGTTTTTTTTATATTTAAAGTCGCTTGGGTGTGAAACCTGGTGGTTGCGCTGTGTATCACAAGTCCAATCGTGAGACAATGGTGGAGATAGGAGATTCTGTACGTGGTAAAGACTTGTATTTAATCCAAACTGGTACAAAGGATGTAAACAATAACATAATGGAGCTTCTCATCATGGCCTATGCATGTAAAACATCATCAGCCAAAAATATTATTGGAGTGATTCCATATTTACCTTATTCTAAGCAATGCAAAATGCGTAAACGCGGATGCATAGTGTCTAAGCTTTTGGCAAAGATGTTATGCACGAGTGGCCTAACTCACATTATCACCATGGATCTCCACCAGAAAGAAATCCAAGGATTCTTTGATGTTCCAGTGGATAATTTGAGAGCTAGCCCATTCCTTTTGCAGTATATTCAAGAATCCGTATGTAGTAAGATTTTAATATAACTATTAAATTATTAGTAATAATTATGTTTTAAAACATCTTGGATTATAATAGCATCTTATTTTAAGCGTGATCAATATCTTAAATTAAAAATACAGATATGATATATTTTTCTTTGTTAATAATATCATAGAATTATATCTTTACTTTAAGATATTCAAAAGTTACTCCATATGTGTTTGTGTTATTTTACATCATACTTTTTTTTATATAAATTATACCTTCTCTTTGTCAGATTCCTGACTATCATAATTCTGTGATCGTTGCAAGAAATCCAGGTAGTGCGAAGAAAGCGACTAGTTATGCTGAAAGACTGCGCCTGGGAATTGCAGTGATTCATGGAGAACAGAGAGAAGCTGAATCAGACATGAACGATGGTCGCTATTCGCCACCTGCGCTAGCATTGGCCGCACGTACGATGGAGGTTGGCGTTGGTGTACCTTTGCATCCAGCGAAGGAAAAACCACCTATAAGCGTTGTTGGAGATGTCGGAGGACGTATCGCTATTATGGTGGTGAGTAAAATTGCATTTTGCATTTATATTGTATCAGGTCGACGATTTGATGAGAGAAATAAATTCGCAGGATGACATGATAGATGATGTACAATCGTATGTAGCAGCCGCTGAGGTACTTAAAGAAAGAGGAGCTTACAAAATATATGTCTTAGCTACACATGGTTTGCTCAGCTCGGACGCTCCTAGACTCATCGAGGAATCTCCGATTGATGAGGTAATAACATTAAAACATTAGTTTACATTAATACAATGAAAATGTTTCTATGAAATTTTTTTCAGGTCGTTGTAACCAATACGGTTCCTCATGACGTGCAGAAGATGCAGTGTCCGAAAATCAAGACTGTTGACATCAGTATTCTTTTAGCAGAGGCAATTCGACGTATACACAATAAGGAGTCGATGTCGTATCTGTTTAAGAATGTAACCTTGGAAGATTAGAAACTAGATGATTTTACATGAAAAGTTACACAATTTAATTGAATAAATGACGATTGAAAGTCACATAAGATTCAATGCCGGGGACCATGTCCAAAATACATATCCGTCTCTTAATTTTCTACACTATTTTTATATTTCTCCAATTTATGAAACAACATTGAACGTAAATCCCTTGCGTTCATCAGAAAGAAACTAATTAGCTAAATGTTTTAATATACATTTCCTTTGTAGTCATCATCTTTTCTCTATAATACATATTAGATTAATATAAAATAATCAATTATAAGGGTGCGCGCGCGAATTCGAATACGAGATTTAGAATGCGTTCCACTTAACGTCTGCAACGCTGGCGCATATTTCATCTTTGTTTGACATTCGATTATAACGAAAATGAAATGATGTTCGCGAGCATTGCTGACGTTAAGTGGAACGCATCTATAGTTGCATAATAGAAATTGTACAATTTTAGAATTTTAGGAATTCTGTAAAGTCATTAAATAGACGTGTATTCTGTGCTTATCAGTGATCTAGTTCTAATTTTATTGTATGATTAAAAATGTATTTTAGACCAAACATAATAAATATATTTCAAGATAAAGATTTTCTACAAATATTTTATCAAATAAAAAGAAATGTTACAGAATACGTGAATTTATAGTATCGATTGTGTTCAAAAAGGCCACAGATTATATAAGAAGAGGAACCGTTCTATCAATCCGAATGAGTTTGTTGTCATGGAGATACACATAGTGAATCGATATGTTTTCTTCTATATAGAGAATTTGTTGTTATATCATTATCATCTTGATTCTAAGAGAAAGAAATCCATTTTAGATATATAAATATGGCATTGAATCTTGAATTAAGTAAGATTACCGTTTCATTGCAAGCAGATGAAAAAAATCGTCGTAAACAAGCGCTAGAGGAAATATTGAAAAATATTTCTCAGAAGCAAATATCAGGCAGATTGGACGACTTTGTTAAAATATGGGAGAGTATACACAGATTTTTAGTTAGAATCATGAACGATAATATGGAGGTGTGTCGAGATCTGACTATAGGAATACTGAAAATATTTTTGGAAGCTCTGCCTCCAGATGACAAGCACATAATGTACATTATACCTATAATGACCAAACGTTTGGGCATGCAAGAATTGATCGAGCCGTCAGAAGAAGTACGACTGAAATGCGTTTCTCTTTTACGAACGATCATTTGGAAGTATAAAGATTTATTGGCACCGCATATTCAAGATGTGACGGGAATATTGGCACGCACCGTTACAGATAATTATCCGAATGTTAAAAAGGAGAGCTGCAGATGTATATCAGATTACGCAAAGATTCTATCGAGGCATTTCTATTCACAATCAGAATATTTAATAAAACCTATCCTGATCAATTTTATGCATCAACACTACAGAGTTCGACTCGCCGCTGTTGAAGCGATAGGTGATGTGATTCAGTATGGCAATAGCAAGTCAATGGAAGAAGTGGCAACTCCTTTGGCACAGAGACTGTTTGATCAAAGTGGGATTGTCAGAAAAGGTATATTTCATATAGTAAATGTTTAACATGATTTTATATAATTGTATTAAAACTCTGTTCATATAATTGCATCGAATCTTAAAGCTGTAATTGAAGTCTCTGGCCACTGGTTGATAGAGCTACCTGACAGATATGGTTGGTGGCACAGACTTCTTCCCCTGATTATGACAGGATTCCACGATGAACTTGCAGAGATTCGTGCAAAAGCAGCTGAGATGTGGGATACTGCAGGAAAATTGTACATACAGGAAAATGAAAACGACGAAAAGTTGAAGGATAAAATGGACTTTCTTACGGAAGAGCTAGAGCATTATCCTACAGAGAGTAAATTAGTTTTGAAAATCACAGTCAATCATTACAGATTAATTATTAAATTGAGAATTAAATTATATAAGATTGTTTTTAGTTTCTAGGCCGAATTTAGGATGTCGTGTGATTGCGCAACAGAATTTTTGCAAACTTATTAATGGTATCAGTGCTGAACTTGGAGATTGGTTACCAGATATACGTATGCGTTCTGCGCAATTACTCAGTATACTGATATTAAATGTTGAAGAAGACGTTACACAACATATTGAAAAGCTTTTGCCGCCTATGTATCGGTAGGACTTACTTTTAATTATTTACTTTAGAAATTAGATAAAATTTAGATACAGAAATAATAAAATTTTAAAAACTTTAAAAAAAGAAAAATTTTTTTAAATAAGAATTTTAATTAGATTGTACATGTGAGAATTCAATAAGAATCAATAAGAAACAAGAATTAAAGACCTATATAAAGAAGTTGGTTTTTTAATGCTAAATAATTCAATGTAAATTTTAAAAATTATGTATAAATTTCATGTGTTGTACGACAAAGGTTCTCAAGTCTGTGATCCAAGACTTCTCTGCTCTGCAGTCAATAAAAAAACTTGAAAAGTCTTGTCGTACAACACATGAAATATCGGCCTATATGTTACAAATAACTCCGACACGGATTTGAAACTACGAACGGAACAAAGTAATTTTTACAAAGTAGATTTTTTGTCATTAAAAATAAATCCATAAATGAAATTGCTTATTACATTATATTTTTGAGAATTGATATAATCTAAAAGTGCCAAAAAAGATACTTTTAAACTAAAACATTCTAAAAACGTGACATGATAAAGCAATTTTACGGATTCGTGTGTTTTCAGCGACAATGAATCTATAAAAATTATATACCTATTAGCTGTTTTATGCAAGAAGTAATAGTTACAATGAAAAAAAAAGGAATTTTAATTCATATTAATAGAAGTTATTCCAAAATTTTTGTCACTTAAATATTTTCCTTTTAAATCATTAAAATAGCTAGTAAAATCTTATTTTCTATTTAAATAGTCATAACAATGTAAAGACAATCGTGAAATCAATTATCAAAAAATTATCAAAATTTTAGAAAGATTATTCACACTTTTAGAAAGACAAAAAAAATTCTATCTTAGACTAAAGTTAATAAATTAAAAAATTAACTTATTTGAAAATAGCATCAAATTATCAGTTTTTTTAACTTATATTATACGCACATAATAATTGGTGCATAATAATAATTGAGTTAATTATGCGCACACACTTAACTGCTAACTTTTTAAACAGTCACCATCTTACTCTGTAAAATTATGTATATAAGTCAAAATTTATGAAGAAATCTAATTACGACTTGTTATAGTGCTTGCAATGATGAGGATAAGAGAGTCGTCGATTGCGTGGAAACTGCGGCACGATATCTAGGCTATTTCGTGCAACCCAAAATTTACTGTCAGTTGGTGCTTCCCACTCTAGATGAATCCCCGACAATCGGACACTTACGTGTTTTTGCAGCGATCATTAGCGGTAGCGAACGAAAAACTCTATCGCAACAATTGGACAAGATAACGAGCTTTCTGCAGCAACCGGATATCTGTCAGAGTAAAAAGAGCAACTATCAATGTCAGATACTTTCCTGCTGTAATTCTCTTCTTGTAGTTTGTAAGGAGGTCCGAATACAATTCTTTCTTCGTTATTACACATTTATTACAGTCATTTGTTCACTTTAAAATTTCTTTCTGGATTAATTCTTAGATCTAATAATGTGTTATAATATGCAGGATTGTAAAGCGGTAACACAAGCTTTATTCACTATAATATTCACCATGTATGCGATGAGCGCGGAACCCTCCATTTGGGAAGAAGCCGATAGGCTCTTGGAGATACTCGTCAACATAAATTCACTAAAGAACATCGATGATCTCTTCTGCAATCACATGAAACCGTTGATAACATCAATTCACAATGATTGTGCCTCGTGGACGGTTTACAGCGCAGAATCGCAAATTTTCTGCGCTTGTTTGAGTCGCAACGGAATCGCCATATCGCATAATATAGACCTTGTATTACCCATTTTTAAAAAAACTATGAGCAAGGACGCCGATCCCGAGTTGAAGCTGCGACATTTTATTCTACTTTCGGAGTATTTCCTGAACAATCAGAATTTATATTATTGTATCGAGGATCCGCATAGATTTGTGAGCACGATTATCGAGGAATTGATCATGCCTGGACTTATTTGGACCGCCGGTAGAGCAGCTGAAGCTATTCGCACGGCTGCCGTTTGCTGCCTCTGCGCTATTCTACAAAACACAATAGTTAATCCCGACAAAAAAGATGAGATTAACAAAATACAGTTGTCTACAAATGAGAAAAACAAGGATTCTAGAAAACCTATGGAGGAGCAATTTCCGTCCATCTTCGACAAGATCGTGCCTGTTTTAATTAGTCTGGTGGATGATAAAGCAAAGAAGACTCGACTGTATTCTATGCGCGCCATTCGTCTATTAGTAAAAATTGGACAGAGATTGTCCTGTTTAGACGACGAACATGTACATCGCACGTATCCAGTGATACTGAAGAGACTCGATGATGGTTGCGACGATGTTCGCTACGCTGCAGTGGAAATGCTTGTGGACGTGTGGAGTGCTGTTTCTAACGATTACGACACGGTCTTCAGTAAGAGTCACATTGATGCTCTATACACGACAATGATTATTCACTTGGACGATCCAGAATCTCGTTTCCAAGAGATAATGTTAGGTAACCATCAATAGTTTTGTAGTAATAGTTCTTTCTGTTAGAAATGTGCGAATTAAATTTTTTTACGTTAAATCGATTTAAATCTCGTTTCTTTTTTTTGAATCTAAATCAAGCTTAATCGACATTATTTTATCTAAATCAAATTGTTGCAGTATAACTTTTAATTAACAACATAATTATTATCAGATGAAATTTTAAGACATAGATAATAAAAAGATTAATAAAAAGAATGTAACAAAAATATGAATTATAAAAGATTGGAGATTGTTTTTCTTATTTTAAATGTTTGCAGTGAAAATTAATTTTTACATTAATTTTTAAAAATGAAAATAAAAGAAATCTTGATCGATTCAGAGCAGTAATATTCAAGAGGGAAAGTTTTAGTTGGTCAGATACCTTGGATAATACTAATAATGGCGGTACTGTAACTTTCAAGCCTTATAATTTGAAAAGTACTTAATAAAAATGAACTTTATTGTAGCGTTTAGAAAAGCTTTTGACATTGGCTATTTGATCCTGGAATCAGAAAGGTCCAATTAAAAAAAATCAATGTGACCTTGATCTGATTTTAGCGATGCCATCCAAGATCAAACAGATAAGATAATTAAATAGATCTTTTTAAAATCTATAACTTTTATCTATAAAACATTTTTTTCAAAAATACTTTCTGAGATATTCAGTTGGCCTGAAATTTTTGGTGAGCACTATATATACAGAGTATACAAAAAACGGACCTCTTAATGAAAACCTCTTAAATATCCTAAAAACGTTTCTGAAAGAAATATTTCATACAAAAGTTATAGGGTTTTAAATGGCGCATTACATAGTAATAATAGAGTAGCCTTGGACTAACCATTGTTACATAAAAAATCATCTTAAAACTTTTAAATGTAAACCCTAATCTTTTTTATTGCGTATTCTTACAGTTGTTTTCGACAGAGATCAAATTATGAGACTTGAAAGTTACGATATTACCGATATTAGCATTATCGTATCGTATAGATTGCCTAATTGGGTGGCATGTATGTTATATCTTTCTCTCCTTCTCTCTCTTTCTGCATGCGTGCATGTATAAGATTATCAATATATGTAATTTATATTCGAATATCTTATTGTCAGATTTTCAAATAGTTTGTACATCTCTATTCTGTCGCGTTTTTCAAGATACAAGTCATAATTTTTAATTTAATATAATGCAACTCTTAATATATTTTAATTACAATACATTTTTTACAGTTTTAATACTGTTTTTCCAGACGCATTAAAGCGCGTTGCACACATCTATCCTGAGTTACTGCATCAAAAATTGTGTAGCTGTCGATCAAATTTCAGGAACAAAGCAGGAGTAGACACACTTTTGGAATATTGCCAAAGTATATTTAAACAAGATTAAATCTTTTTTTCAAATAGACATTTTTGTAATCCGATAGGTATGTGTTTTAACAAATATAAGTTATATAATCTTTCTAGGTATAAGTTTTTCTATCATACATGTCAATTAAAAACATTGAACTTATAAACATAATGCCATAAAGTATTCAGTCTGGTACAGCAAGTTATAAATTAAATTTTTTTTTCCCCTAAGTAGGATTATCTCAATTTATACAAATTATATACACAAGTGAAATTAAGCTTTTATTCATATAAGTTCGTACTCTTTAATTTAAGAATATCTACAATATTTGGTATCATAAAATATTATTGATTGTTTAGAGATATATTGAGGATTTATGCAATTGTATTATGTCAAACGAAAGTCATGTCAAAATATATTAAACGAAGGTTCTTTGAAATATATTGCAAAATTTCTAAAAAAATATTGATTCATCTGTGGATACTATTACTCAATATGATGCCAATTCTTTTTTTTTAAATTAATTTAATTGTTGCTCATTAAAAAAATTATTAAACTGTTGTATAATTAGATTGAGGGTCATAAAATTATATTGTGTATACAAGGTGTTCCAATAATTATTAGTACCTAATATTTTAGAAAATAGAAATATTTTTAGAATTTATAAGGTCTAAAGGAAAAATTGTGTAATCAATTGCACTACTAACAATAGTGATATGAAGGAATCTATCATATGGCGATAATTTTTGTCCAAATGTAGGCGCTTCAGAGATTTCAAGGTCAACTTTATATAAATGAAATTTATATTGAAAATTATATTTAAAAGTATTAAGATAAAAGTATCAAAAAATCAATAGTTTACGAAATATTTTATACTTTATTCTGACATATATTGACATAAAATGTTAAATAATTCGTAAATTATTAATTTTTTGATAATTGTACCTTAATTCTTTTTATGAAAAAAATAATGAGATGAATCAATTGGAATAAAGAAAGTACACATAATTATTTAAAAAATCATTTGCAATCCATTTTGCATCCTTTATCTTTTTAAAGCAACTATGTGTTTTTTTTACACCAATTTAATCATCTCATTATTCTCTTCATAAAAATATTAAGGTGCGATTATAAAAAAATTATTGATTTTTTAACGTTTTATGTCAACCCAATCAGAAATGATAATGGAATCGACATCGAATCGACATCGATTCGACGTCGATTTGATGTTTTCGATGTCGAATCGATGTCGATTCGATGTTGATTCGATGTCGATGTCATTATCATTTCTGACTGAGAATATACATCAGAATTAAATATCAAGAACAAAATATCTCGTAAATTATTAATTTTTCGATATTTTAAATATTTTTGTACGCAGAATAATTAAAGAAATCATATGTAAAAAAAACACATAATTCCATTTAAAAAAAAAATGAAATTGATCTTGAAATCTCTGATGTGCCTCTACCTAGACGAAAATTATAATCGCCCTATAATATTAGGTGTACAACTTTGCTTCCACCGTTTTCCTATAGATGGCTTTAGCGGTAAGTGGTGGTCGAAATAAATAGATCATAGACGTCATACAATAAACTTGGGCATCTGTCAACATAACCCCATAGAAACATTAGTCGATTTGTGTCTGCATCATAAAGTTATTCTCGATTGAAAATGTCAGTTTACGAGCCAAATTCTCGTCATTTGCGGGAGGTTTTAATTTTTTGCTTCAATATGAAGAAATCTGCGGCTGAGGCTCATCGAATGCTCTCAAATACTTATGGTGAGGCCTATTAGTGAAAGAACGTGTCGTGGTTTCAATGCTTCAAGAATGGTGATTTTTGACGTCGAAGATCGGCATAACGGTGGAAGAGAGAAGGTTTTTGAAGATGCAGAATTGAAGACATTACTTGAGCAAGACTCGTGTCAAAATCAAGAAGAATTGGCACGATCATTGGGAGTGACTCAACAAGCCATTTCAAAACGCCTCAAAGCCTCATGGGAATGAAGCAAGGAAATTGAGTGCCGTACGAATTGAAGCCGAGAGATGTTGAACGGCGTTTGTTTGCTTGTGAACAGCTGCAAAGACGGAAAGGATTTCTGCATCGTATTGTGACTGGGGACGAAAAATGGGTTCATTACGATAATCCCAAGCGCAGAAAATCATGGGAAGTTCCCGGCCATGCTTCCACGTCGACGGCCAAACCGAATATTCACGGCTCCAAGGTCGTGCTCTGTATTTGGTGGGACCAGCAATAAACTCGGCATAGTGTATTATGAACTGTTAAAATCGACTGAAACAATCACAAGCGATCGGTATCGAACGCAATTGATGCGTTTGAGCCGAGCATTGAAAGACAAACGGCCGTAATACAACGAGAGACACGATAAAATGATTTTGCAGCATGACAATGCTCGACCCCATGTTGCGAAAATGGTCAAGACATATTTGGAAACGTTGAAATGGGAAGTCCTACCCCACCCGCCGTATTCTCCAGACGTTGCTCCCTCTGACTATCACTTGTTTCGATCAATGGCACACGGCCTGGCTGACTAGCACTTCCGGTCTTATGAAGAAGTAAAAAATTGGATCGATTCGTGGATAGCTTCAAAAGATGACCAGTTTTTTCGACGCGGGATTCGTACGCTACCCGAAAGATGGGAGAAAGTAATGGCCAGCGATGGACAATACTTTGAATCATAAATGTATAACCAATTTTTTACAATAAAGCCTCGAATTCGGAAAAAAACGGCGAAAGCAAAGTTGTACACCTAATAGATATCATGCAATTTTGGTTATACAAATTTTCTTCTGAGCCTTTGGCTCTTGAAAAGAAACGTATATGAAATTTTAGGAAAATACTATAATATATGTAACGTATACTGTAATATTTCCTTAGACTTTCATATACGTTTCTTTTTTCAAGAATAGAGGCTCTGGACCTTCAATTTTCAACTTTTCATGCTGATGTTCGATGCTCATTTCCAACGTTAAAATAAGTTACGTGATTAAAATTGATATTCATGTTTTGACCTGTTTTGACTTAAATCGAACATCGAGCGTCAGTACGAAAAAGCATTCACACTAAAATTAAGGATACGATCAACGCGATGCTACAAACGTACGCTACAAACAATACGTTTTGAAGCGTTTTTTAATTGATCAATTTGCAAAATTTCTTTCTTCTATGATCCATTAAATGCTTCAAAGCGTTTGTAGCGAGACTTTGACTACAACCTGTATCTTAAAAGCGTCAATTTTGATGCACATGACTTATTTTGACGCTGAAACAGAGAGAAACCTGAGAGAAGACACGGCCCTGTCAATAATTAATCGCAAAATGCTGTGGCGCACTACTGCCCTTTGAAAGTGGATATAAACTACATAGCAACGTCCACTTATACATGATCTACAATGGACAGTAATAATAGTTGATTAAGAAGTAGGCGTAGAAATCGATCAATCATAATTGATTATTTTTCTCACATTCAACTATGATTATTCGATTTTTACGCCTACTCCTTAATCCACTACTGCTACTGCCCATTAGTAGACCATGCATTAGGGTACATCATCTACTTTTTAAGGCTGGAGAAGATGAATCGATATTTGATTCGTATAATCGTATTTACATGTAACACAATTATATGAATCAAATATCGATTTATCATCTCCAGCCTTGAAAAGTGGACGATGTATCTTAAGAGAAGTTGTTATGTAATTTACATCCACTTTGTTAGAGGCACTCTACTAGTGCGCGGCAGTATTTTGTTACAGATTTTAGGTCTTTCTGAGGTTTTACTCTGGTTACATATACTATACATTTTCAGCGCTGGTAATGAATTTTGAAACACAGCTATAATCGGAGTTGGTGAGACCGGGCCTAAGGATGAAATCACGGTATGGAAAAAAGCTTCAAAATAAAGAATGCGCCATTGAAACAACCAAGCGCTATTCGGAATAACATAGAATAACGCTGATTGATTGCTTCAATGACGCATTCTCTATTCCGCAGTTCTATTCCGCATTGTGTGATTTCATCTTAAGAGTGCGGTCCATTTCGCGCTACAAATACTTTGAAGTGTTTGATTGATTAATTGGAAGAAAGAATTTTACTAATTCACCAATCAAAAGATGCTTTGAAGCATTTGTAGCATTAAGTAGAACGTAGTCTAAGGATGCCGCAATCTGTCAAAAATTGACCAATCAAGTTCGAATACTCTCTTCTTACCATCAAATAAGAGGGGAATACTTGACTGTGATTAATCAATTTTTACAGATTACGGTATATGGTTACAGCCAATATAAACGTTCCTTAAGGAAATGTTGGAGTAACCAAATTGTCGGGATCATGAAGAATAGAAACCAGGTATATGAAAAATTAGAGAAATATACTATACTATAATATACTGTAATATTGTACTATAGTATTCTTAGCATTTTCGTACTAGCGTAATATTTTTATTTGAGGATCGATTGTGGATTTTGAAATGAAATAAAAATTATAAAAGTGAGCAAAAGTTACTAAGTATTGATCAATTAAATTATAAATATTCTAGTGAATTTGCTTACTTTTATATTTTTCACTTTATTTTAAAATCCATAATCGATTTTCTGAACCGAAATGCTGACAATTTTCTTATTGGCTATTCGACCACCATTTTCGATCTAATTGTCTGTAGTTCAATAAGCGCTTAGTAATATTGCTATATGAAGTGCATTCGACATTGCAAATCGGAGGCGTCCGTTTGCTCTTTTACCTCGAAAATCATTCGGCAATTCGCATCTTTCTGCTACATGTCATCTCATCTGTGTTCGATATTAACATTTCTAGAATCAATCAAGCTGCTCGATCCATTCCGGATTTAAAGACCGAGCTTATAGAGTTAATACAAATTTTCGCGCTTAAATTAAATCCATAACCTGTGTATATTTATAATAATGCTATCAATAGAAATTAATGGAGTACATTAAGTATAATATTTAGTGAGGAAAATTTTACTTCTTTTCCTCTTTATAATATATTAAAGACTCTAATGAACATAAATCAAGTGATATAACTTAATTAAATTGCTGAAATTATTTTGTAATGTAATATTTTCTTTTAAGAACATCTTGCATATGAGTCTGCTCATATGCACATTCATGTTTAATATCTCTATTTTTAGTATATAAGACTATTATCAGTTTCTAGTAAAGCGAAAGAAATTTTCAATTAATAAGGAATTTTTTATTTATTCATAAAAATAAACAATTTCATTTTATTAATTTAACCTTAAAGGACAGTTTACAGCTCTGTAGTGTTTGAAATTAATTCTTGGCACTCGAAGATCACGTGATCAAGCTTGCTATTTGCTAGCTCGCATTCCAGCAAACGAGAATGGATTGAAACGAATTGAAATGGATTCAGATTTTCAGAAATATTGATGAATGTTATTGATGTATAATGAATGTTAAAATGAATGCTTTTCAATCCTAAATACATTTTTATTCATTTATAGGAATTGCATATCTCTATGTCTTTCAATATAAAAATAATATTAGCTTTTTCTGTGCACAACACACATTATGAATACTGTTCAAAATTTTGATTAAGCAGTTTTTTAATCCAATTGCATCCAATTGAATCTAATTGAATCCAATTGAATTCAAAAAAATATTCGCTATTTAAAATACATTCGGATAGAAGAAAATTTTAATTCATTTTAATCCATTCCCCTTTTGCTGGGATCTCAGATTTACACTGAACGCATCTATGACTGATGCGTTCGAGGAGACGCTATTAGCGCTACTTCTGTTATGGCTCTTGCATACTGGACGCATAAACTTTTGCGTGAGACGCGACAACCAATGAACACATTAGAAGCTGTAAGTTTATTGGCTACCGCATCACATTTTGCCGCGCGGTAAGCGTTACCGCGTTCAGTGTGCAGGAACCAGCTGCAGCTTAGTTTCCACTGAGGGTTTAAACCGAATCAAAATGTAAGAACTAACTAACTACAGTCGAGTATTTCCCTGTTCACAGTCGAACGATAGGAGAATACTCAACTGCTAGACTAGGGGATCAATTCTGTATCTTGAAACGAGGTGAAAATGACAAAAGTAAGCAAATTTATTAGATATTGATCAATGAAATTATCAGTATTCTAGTAAATTTATTCACTTTTATAATTTTTGTCTTGTTTTAAGAAACAGAATCGATCTCCAGTATTAATTATAAGGATGCTGTCTTATGTACACGAAATCGGAACGTCGGAATGGATTTCTTATTAGAAATGAGTACACTAGCATCTAGCATTCTGTTCCATAAGAAATTTCTCTACTGTGTCGGAATCATGGCCGAAATAGTATAGAAACGATATAGAATCAACGAAATGTCATGTCAATTGCAGTCTATGTCGATTCGGCTATTGTTGATGATTGAGAATTTGACAACTTCAAAGAAGAAAATTAATAATAATTCTTATTTTTCAATACGACATATTCTTGTTTTATACAGTCCAACTAATGCCAACTAATGCCAGCAGTTCTTCAAATAATACCGATGTCATTCTGAAGTAATTGAAGAATTTGTCACAATCGGTCGTTTGCATTTCAAAGAATTGAAATTGTTTTGTGTCTTGGAGACGCCTCATTCTTTGTGTAAACGTTGACTGTATAGAATTTTCGTTTTTTTGTATATTTCTGCCATTGCAATAAAATGTTATAAGCGAAATAAAATTTTCGTACACTCTTAAATATCGGAATAGCACGTCAACTTGGCACATTTCTTGCCTTTCGCAATAACATTAGTAATAACACTTCTTCTTCATCGTTGTAGAAAAAGTTTTCTGAATATTCGTTTCAATTTTTAGATTCAATCAATTCAGCTGAACATGCCATTACGTTCCGTAAAAATTTTCTCTATCCGTCCCGCAGCCGGAACGCAATGAAATTTTGGTAACAAAATATATCTCATTCTTATAATTCAGTATTTTTCAGTATTTGAAGTACCCAGCAAACGAGAATGGATTAAAATGGATTGAAAATTTTTTCTATCGGAATACGTATTTTAAATAGCAAATATTTTTTTTGGATTTAATTGGATTCAATTGAATTCAATTAGATTCAATTGGATGCAATTGGATTGAAAAACTGCATTTTCTATTTAAAATTTTGAATTGACCTATTCACAATATGTGTGTTGTACATAGAAAAAGCTAATATTATTTTTAGATTGAAAAGTATAGAGATATGCTCCATGAAATTCCTGTAAATGAATAAAAATGCATTGAAAAGTATTCATTTTAACATTCGTAAATCAATATTTGATGAATCTATTTCAATTCATTTCAATCCATTCTCATTTGCTGGATAATGTTATAAATAAGATAATTGCATAAATTATGCATATTACTACTTTACTCGCATTAAAATAACGAAATATTGATTAAATTGAGCAAATTAGCTTGCGAGGTGACATTCCGTCTGTTTCCATTCCGTTGCGGCCATATGGGACGGGTAGAGAAATTTCTTACAGAACGGAATTGTAGTGAACTCAATTTTCTAGTAAGAAATTCGTTCCGTCATTCCGATTCCATGTACATGGCGGCACTCTAATCCGTACAAATTAAAATCGTGTTGCTTAGGGGTTTTTGTTAGTACCAACATTTTCCAATCTAGTTTTTCGGGAAAATGTCATGTAACCCACGCATGGTGTGCAAGATATATCATTTTATCTTCATTGTTCATCGAATATTAAAGAAAAATAAAATCATACATCATGCACATCATGCGTAAAACGGAATGTAGCTTAGAGCTTTACGTAATGCAGCCTGATGCGGATGCGGCCACAAGAAGTATCCGCCCTTCCGTTTCCGTGCGCACTGCGTCGACTGCGCGCCGCGACGCCATGTTGTCAGTATCTTCCGATTGGCGAAGCGTGAGACGGAAGAGTAGACAAACAGGAATTAACAATCGGCCGCTGATAATCTGGTACGGATTCTCGTAAACGCGAGAGCCGGTATCGTATTATCATAATTTTCACAAGTCGCCTGTCAAGCCGAGCCGAGAGAGTCCGAGAGAGTCGACGGTAAGTGCTGAGCGATGAGCGCTGTGCCGGGTACTCGGAGTGTGCCGGACGAAGCGAGTTATCATCGTCACCTCGCGTTCTCCTCTCCAGGCATTAAGGCGAAATTTATCACGGAAGAGACTTCGTCTCCCGGAGAAATTCTTTACATCGAAGCTCTGGTCTTTGAAACCGCGCCGTATTGCGTCTTTTCGTTCTCTTCTGAAAATGAAAAAAAAAATAGAATCGAGTACAGTTTGGAGCTGATTTCGGATTTTAGTTGCGCGAAAATGCACCTTGCACGAGCGAATGACGAGAGTTGCGATTAGCATTCTTTTCTGCGCAGAGATCGATCGTGGTATTATATTTCCAGTTCTGCAAAAACAGATGAGACGAGAATCGTAAAGAGAATAATGTGAGTGAGTGAGTGAGTGAGTGAGTGAGTGAGTGAGTGAGTGAGTGAGTGAGTGAGAGAGAGAGAGAGAGAGTGAGTGAGTGAGTGAGTGAGTGAGTGAGTGAGTGAGTGAGTGAGTGAGTGAGTGAATAAGTGAGTGAGTGAGAGAAGAGGAAAAGGGCCGAGTAGCTGAGAGGATCTTCAGCTGATCGTCTTGTTCAATTTCCCCGCGGATTTATTTGCCCTGTTTAGCTGCATGTTTCAAACAAAGCAAATACAATTCTTTGCAAAAGAATTTATTGTTCTCTTTTTTTTCCAAACATGAAATCATATATATTTCATCTTAAGTATATATTAGATTAAGGAAAAAGTCCCTTTACATATTGTTAAAAAGATCTTTCTCCATCAATATCTTCGTTAAAAATGAAATTTAAATTTAGAAAAAGAATTTTAAAGTTTGAAATCTCTATTTTCGAATGATTACTATATTTTTTGAATTTATGTAAGTTTGGTAATTTTTACATACAGAAATTTTTACTACGAGCTGAGAAAAAAATGAAAAATTTTCTTTTCACTTTGTAGATCTATAGTGTGCTCAAAAAATTTGAGCAAATTTTCGACTATACATCGTGAAAGCTTGAAGTTTTCTCTACAAAGTTTTTAAAAAATTCTACGATTTTGTGTTCCTGAGTTACTCGCGGATTGAATAAAAAGGATCATTCTGACTTTATTGCTAGTAACTCTGTTACGAATCATAGTATCATAATTAAAAATTAAGGCTGAAACGTTGCTCTATCAAGTGATGTAATTGCTTATTTTTTAAAATAGAATATATGTGGGACTAAAAAGGTCTTTATCAATTTTTAAAAAGACTTTCCCTAACCCAATATAACGCAAGGAACAGATCTCGAATTTCACGGTAAAAAAAAGGCAGACTAGAAGTTACAGAAAGTGCAGACAAAAAGAACTCTAAGCCGCGAAATTTATTCACGCGCAGTTCTATCAATTTAAGATTAATTTTTCAGTAGTTGCGTAGGAATTAAACTGACCGAGACGCACGAACAAACGAATGTTTCTTTGCATTTTCGTTTTGCCACATTAGCGCTTTTAGATCCAATTTCATGGTTAACTCGATGATTTAGAATTAATTAATCATTCTAGAATTGAAAAAAGATAGAAAGGAATAATTGAATCTCGATTAAGAGGTTCAACTTATTCTTTATCCCTTTTCAATTCTAAAATGATTAATTAATTCTAAATGATTAATTAAGTTCACATATTATATACATGTATCGCCGATCAATCAAGATAATTTAATAGAAATTCACTAATTATAGTACCCGTATTTTATTAATACATATAACGTACCACTCAACAAAATTAAAGAGTCACTTGTTCCATTCTGTAAAAATAGACAAATTTTAAAATGGAAAAACTTCATTATCGAGATTTATATAAAAAATCATTTTATAGCTTGAAATCTGTATTTCAGAATCTGTATTTTAGAAAACAATCTTATTGATGTTTTATAGAGTTACACAAACATAAATGAAGATGTATCAAATTTTTTTACGAAATTTGCATAGTTCCACGGCGCGAATTAAAAATTGTATATAAATATAGTTTATAGCATTCGAAAGAGTGCAAGAATCTTGATCTTTAAATTGCTTTTTTATTAAGCTCTACAATTTTTTTTCATTGAGTTATTCAACATTGAAGGTCATTTTTAACTAAAACATAGTATATAGACAATGTTAAAGTATCATGAATCAAAAGTACTAGGTAGTTATATTTATTATATTTTTCAGTCCTAACTCGAGTTTTCAAAAGCACCCACATTTGAGCGAAGTGGAATATGCAAAATATTGATATTGATAAAAATTCGTTTTGCCAATTTCTTATTTCTTATTTTCTCTTACGCTTTTCAGCTCTGCTATTCGTGACTGTTGCGACGTGCCACTGCCACCATTGCCAATTTTCCAAATTTTCGTCAGCAGATTCTCAAACTTTTTAACCGCTTATAGGCAGGGGTAGAGCGAATTAAATTGAATCGAAAAGTCTATCATTTTACAATTGTCGCAATATTTAACGAGATATTAATGTCTAAAAATTATCAAATAAAATCTGTGATCTTTAGAAATTAATATCTCGTTAATTATTACGACAATTGTGTTTATGCTTATCTGCCCTCTTTCTGCGAAAATAAAAATTGGAACATAAGTCGAATGTAAGGGGAGAGTAACATAAGTATAGAAATTTCTAAGAGGCGAAAATTGAAACAGCGAAATGTAAAAGATATATTTACTTTTTTTATGTTTCGCTTTTCCTACATTTTTCTTTCGTTGTTTTAATTTTCGCATTCTAGAAGTTTCGTTTACACTGTTGCGACGCGCCACCATTGCCAATTTTCCAAATTTTCGAAGTTTTTCATCAGCAGATTCTACAGCGTGCTAAATTTTTTAACACACCGCTTATAAGCAGGGGTAGAGCGATTACTTGCTCTCGCTTTACATTCAACTGTACTATCAAATGCATGTCTATTAGGAGTGAGCGCTAGCTGCAGAGATTTATTTACAAATGGCAGTTACGAGTTATGCATGGCAGCAAAAGAAAACAACTCCCCGAGCGCCTAGTGACTATGACGATGGGGTGTGCATTTAGATATATGTGAAGTTGGCGTTTCACTCGATGGAAACATTAAATGTTGAAAGTTCTGAGTTTATTTTCAATAGTTCTATATATAGGTAAAACGAATAGTTTCGACCATTAAAGTCAAGAAATCGAAAATGCAAAATGAGACATTTGCAGCCACAGTTTCTTGTAGAATTATATCTTGAAAAAATACAATAATTCTATAAAGAGTTCTGACAATTAATATCGTTATTTTGATTTTTAAATAATTTTTTTCCCCTCAAAAATGGTCTTTATAGAGTCTCTTTATGAGACGCTGCCCAATTTTAAATAGTTCTTAATTTCTTAAATAGACTTAAATAGTCTATGGTAATTCTCGTGTAGTTTTGAATGTATTTTAATGCTTTTCGAAGAGTTCTGATCATTTTAATTTTTTGTTAATTAAAAAAATTTTTTTATTTTCATTTTTTTATTTTCATTTTTTGCATTGAACATTGATTTTTATGTAAAAATGAAAATAAAAGAAACAATGTCACTAATGATCTTGATCTTAACAAATATTATCCAGAACATAATCCTGAACAATAAGAGGTTTAATCGTCAGACACTTTGCGTAATCAGCGTAATACTAATGCCGGCGGTATTGTAACTTTCAAGTCTTATAACTCGAAATGTACTTTATAGAAAAATATTTTATTATAGTGTTTTGAAAAGCTCTCGAGGTTAGCTACAAGAATATTTAATGAAAAATGGGAAGTTCCATTTAAAAAATTCAACATGGACTTGCCCTGACCTTGACAATGCCACCCAAGGTCAAATCAATGACACCATCTTATGTCCCTCTCGAAGATGTCCCTCTCCAAACTTTTGTTTCTAAAACATTTTCTCTAAAATGCGCTGTTCAAGAGATATTTGAATTAATCGATTAAAATCAATTAATCTGATCAATTAATGCGATTATTCTTTGTTTTTCAATAATTTTAACAGAAGTTATGTTCAATTAAACGTTTACGAAATAAAATAAATTGAAAATGTAAAAAATTCATATCAATGTTAAAAAATTCATATCGAGGAAATTAATGAAGATAAAAATCTAAAAAAATAACTGAATATATATTTTAATATGAAGAATATATTAAAAAATTAGTAAAAAAAAATCGGCAGAGTTGATGACGAAGGCCGATTAGATGGAATGCATCATATGTGTACGTGTGTGCGTGCGTGTGCACACATACACACACACACACACACACACACACACACATGATGTTCCGCAATTTTTTGATTAAGCATTTTTATATAGATAGAAAGGACTAAATTGAGTCGAAAAGTCCTGTACCATTTTGCAATTTTCGTAATGGTTAATGAGAAACTAATTTATGAAAATAGCTGAATATGATACAAAATAAGACTGCCCAGAGTCTGCATTTTTTTTCCTCTTCTTCTTCCTTTTCCTCTTTTTTCTCTTCTTTTTCTTCTTCTTTCTCTTCTTCTTTCTCTTCTTTCTCTTCCTCTTTTTCTTCTTAAGATTTGGACTTCCGACCCAATACATAAAGTATCACAGTACCATGCGATGAATTTGGATCAAAAGATCCTGATAATCTCTTCGGGGGATAAAGGCTTCACGGTTAATTCAATCTTATTCCTTCAGTGCGATGCTCGCGGAGTCAATGCAAGCTTCTCGTATAAACGAAGATCGAGACTTCAACTTTAGTTGGTATCAAGCGATTCAAAGTGTTCTTCTCGGAGCCGAATCCTCGTTTTTCATCGTTAGTTGTTTACGCGACATTGGCCTTAACGTGCCTAGCGACAGCAAACGCGCGCCTCACTGGTCGGTTTTATCCGCTTGCATTTGGTGCTAGGCCGGGCAATTGGTATTATTTTCATAAATTAATATCTCATTAACCATTGCAAAATGCAAAATGATAGAGGATTTTTCGATTCAGTTTAGTCCGTTCTATTTGCAATTTTCTCAATATAATTAACAAGATATTAATTACTTTAAAATCACCGAATATTGGCCTTTAATAATTTTTTTCTTAAATGCTACTAACTTTATAGAAAAACTGTAAGAGACAAAAATTGTTTTTTTTTCTTATAGAATTGTAAGAATTTTTTCAGAACTTTTAAATCAACTTTTTAGAACTGTATTTTCTTATTGGCAACTATTTTTACTAACATGAGAAAATGTGGTATTAAAAAATTCTGAAAAAATTCTCAAAACTTTATGAAGAAAATAAACAATTTTTGTCTCTCGCTGTTTTTCTGTAAAGTTGATAGTATTTGAGTAAAAAATTATTGAAAATCAATATTTTTAATAATTAATACGAGTATCTTGTTAACTATTGCGAAAATTGCAAAATAAAGATTTTTTGACTCAATTTAATCCACTCTATGTATACAAGAGCGCTTGGCAAAAAATTTCAGAACATCCTATATACAATGAATGCAAAAAGTATTCGTACAGAGAAAATATTTTTTTAAAAAAACTTTATTTTTAAAAAGTAAATAGCGAGAAATGAGTCATCGAATTGATATCGAATCGATATCGATACAATGACAACACTAATTTGATGTCGATTCAATGTTTAATTAACGATCATTTTTTGCTAGATAATTAATAATTTATAAAGAATAAAATAGACTGTATGTTTCTAAAATTATATATACCAAAAAGATATGTATTAATACAGAATATATATCGTCTGAAAAATAAGCGAAAATTAAAAATTATATTGTTTGAATGCTCAAAAAGTATTCGAGGAATTTAGTTTCTAAAATCAAAAATATCTGCAAAGCTCATTTATTTATGTAGAACAGAATGTATTTATTATATAAAATTGCTAATTAATGTTTATTTTCTACAAAAAGACTTTTTTAATAAAAAATTTTCTTATACGAATGCTTTTTATGCTCTATATGTGTGTGTGTGTGTGTGTGCGCGCGCGCGCACACACACACACACATATACATATATACATATATATATATATTGGGTTGTCCGGAAAGTTCATGCC